TGTAAAAACTTCTAACAAAGCTGCTTGAAGGATGTTGCTGAAATTAATGCTAAAAGGTATTTATCAATGCATTCTAGAATTTTATTTTCAATATATGCAACCAAATGAAACATCAACTTTTCTGCTAAATTTTATTTGAGGTTTGTCATTATAATTTTATATACAATAGTTTCATTGATTCAACAAGCATTCAGTAATTACACGGTGTGTGCAAAACAGTGTGAGTAGTAAAAGGCAAGCTAAATACGTGGTTAAGATGCAGCTTTTATTCTCCAAAGATTACAGGAAGTAAGAGGTGAACCAATGGAAGTTAATGGGTGCAGAAAGGTATTAACATCCTATGAGTAAGTAAGGGAAGCAACATTGTTCGATGCTTGTCTGAGTCAATGTTGGCCCAAGCAGACATTCAATAAATGTCAATCCACTAATAAGAGAAAAGTGAAGTAAGTAGGAAAAAGGAAGAAGCTTAAGAAATCTTAAAAACTAGAGTAACAGAGGCTAAGGTGCTATTCTCATCATACCAGAAGAATCTCCAAGGCAGGAGAGATTATTGTTGTTATTATTTTTGTGTGTGTTTGTTTTTCCTTTTTATTGGTTCCGGGGATCGAACTCACGACTGCCTGCTTGCAAGGCAGGCACTTCTGCCGCTGAGTAAATCTCAGTAAATCTCCAGCCCCTAGGAGAGATTAATTTTCAGTGAGGGAATGGACTACGTAACTGTGTGGAGTGTCATTTCCCGAGAACTGAATGGGAGGAGACAGGAGAATCCTTCAGTAGCATAAAGGCATCTAGGTAGCATGGGGCATGACAAGCTGTCCACCAGGGCTACAAGGGGATGCACGAGATGTACACAATGAAATAGGGCCTTTTTGTGTCATAATAGTGTGCTGACACTAATTTGTGCCATTTGGGGTTTGTAAATATAGGTTGTCATAATTAAGGCTTTCCCTTGGGAGAGGTTGAATGGCTCTAAGGGAAGGCTTAAAAAGAGGTGCACAGCTGGAGGGTGGGGTGGGGGAAGTGGAGACAAGGCTGGAGGAGGTCTGAATGAAGGTGACTGGAGGACCCTGGAGAAGAGTGTGAAGAAGATATGTAGCACAAAGAACCAAAATTTGTATTTATTGCAACAAACTTACAAAATGGTATTTTTTCCTAATTTTCAGACAGTTCCTCACCCAAATCAAAACAGGTTGTTTACCATGTAATCACATAATATCACCAGCTGTTTGAATTTGTAGTAAGGCTTTTAAATGTCTTTTCCATATTTGAGTAGGAAAATTCTCCTTTTCTGCACATTATTGCCAAAATATGACATGAAAAAAAAAAATAAGCATTGAAAGTCTAACAGCACATATGCACATTTGGCCCTAGGAAAAAATCAGGACTATATTTTTACATTTACTAACTCTGGGGATCACTTTTATTTTTACTTCATTAATTCTCATCTTTGAATAGTTTTCACCTCTGAAAATAGACTTGCCTCCCCCTCTCAAATTATATCACACATGTAATCCTTGTCCTCACTAATTCAAAAGCTTAACATACTTTTAATGGGCATTCAACAGTCTTTACATTAGTTATAAGAAAGTAGTATAGGTAATAACTACATAATGTAAAAATTTTTGGCCATAGACACTCATTTTTCAAACAGTATCTCTAATAAGTTGTAAAAAAAAAATTGTCACCAGTTAACATTTGCTTTTACATTCACTATTTAAAATCTCTACTTGTAAATTTTACTGTGTCATAATTACAAGGTGAATATACTGCTTTCCAGTGTTCTTCTTTTCTGGATAATATGTTAGATTAAACAAAAAATTCAACATATGTATCCTGTATAAGAAACTCAGGATACCAATCTTTTACCATCTTTATTTTTTTATGGTTGTCTTGATAATACAGACTAAGTAAATGCAAAATATACAGGGAAAGTTAGGTAAATGGTTTAACACTTTTGACCCAAACCATCTTGGTTTAAACAGAAGTATCATGCGGGATTCTATCTGACAGATTCTTTGAACCTTGACATCCTAAAATCCTGTAATTTCTCTCTACATGGGCTTTAACATTCCTTGACAGAAGTTGAGTTAAAAAATTTTGCCTTTTAAAAGTTTTCTGATTTTTCACATCTCCGGCAACACACATGTAGGTAGAAAGCACGAAGGTCTAAACATCAAAAGTGCACATATTTTTGCCAGGCTCATGTCCTTCTTTCTCTTGTGTCCACTCGTTAAATCCTATACAGAGACAGTCTGTAGGAACTGCACAGGAAATGTATGCCATATATACAAACTCCGGTAATCTAATTCCCAATTATATCCACCCTTTTAAAATTCTTTGTCTTGACTCTTCCACATCCATTGAGTTTCACACAACGATTCTCCCCTCTAAATATACTTTCTTCCCTTTTTATAAGGGAGGGGGGATAGGCTGGCGGTTAGCCTTATTTTAACATTTCTAATTTTTAAAAACATCACCTAGTTTTTAAAAAGCGGCTAGCACTTCCTTGTAATACTTGATGTACTTTCCTCTTTTAATCACACACTCTATTCAGACTATAGATATTAACCTTGACCTGCCCTTAATTTCCTTATCCCTCTGGAATGAATTCTTGTACTTTATTTCCTATCTTTCATCATTCTATTAACATGCCCGTGGCTGTTGCCATAGAAAGCGAGTGTGCAGTTTTCTTTTCCACGTGCAGAAGCACTCGATATAGAATGTATTTATGGTCTGTTCACCACCCAGCTCCCAGCTCTCTGAAAAACAGCTGTTGGTGCAAGGACTGCCACGATGACATAATTTCTTACAGCGCCCTTTCAGTCTTAAACTCTTTCTTCACTCCCTGCCCCACCCAGAGGCAAACTTTACTCGATTCCAGTAGAGGCAAGTTTTCTGTTTAAACACTGCATTTGTTGCTATTTCTAACGTTTTCCAAACTTGCCTTTTCATGTTGTTTCTATTTGGATGCAGTGGAATGGAAAGATCTTGTGCCTAGAATCAGACCAGAGGGTGGGGCCTGAAATACCATCACTTTGACAGACTCCTCCTGTGATCCACCGAACCCCGCCTCCCGAGCCCCCACTTTCCTGACCCCACTGCTTTCTGACTCAAGGTTCTTTTGTTTCATGAGTGCTCCACAAATTTCAGACTTCCTTCATTTGTTCTTCTTGGAAACCTTTAAGGCTAGGACTGCTCCCCTCAAACCTGTTTTATTCTAGCAAGAGGCAGGCCTGCTGGTGCATCGTGTCAGGACTCCACGCTAGGCTGGACCACCTTTCTTTCCCCTTCCCCTCCAGAGCAAACGTGGCAGGGGGCCCAGTGCGCTCCAGGCAGTACCCTGTCTTTGTTTTCATTATTATGCACAAACGTCTTCAAGAAGTGTTTGGAAAATGCCATAGTGCCACAGAGAATCCAGCTTTTCCTAGCTGAACAAGCTTCTTCGCGCTCATTCTCCTGCTCCTCGGCCTCTCCCTTGTGTCTCTTCCCAACCCACTTCGAGCCACAGGACTGCAAATCTTTCTCTCCTAACACAAACTTCCCCTCCCGGCCTGCCCACAGCCAGGGCGGCTTCCCACGCTGGCGGGCTCAGTGGCGCGCGGAGGGGATGTCTGGCTCAGCCGGGAGCCCCAGACTGCGCACCTAAGCTTGCAAGAAAGTGGCTCCGCAGTCGCCGAACATCGACGGCCGCCCGCCGGCCCAGCCCAGCCCGGCCCAGCTCCAGCACCCTGCTGACCCCTGCGTCCTCTGAGCCCCGCGGGAACTGCCCGGCCGCCTCCTTCAGCTCCCGACACAGAACCTGGCGGATCTGGGGCCGGCCGCGCGGTTCTCCGCACTCTCCCGCGGGGCTCAGCCTCTCGCCCGCAGGACCTGGCAGGGTCCGCAGATCCCCTTCCTCCCCTCCACCGGCGGGTTCGCCGGCTCCCCTAAACCACCGGCGCAGGAAGGCGCCCTGTGCCCCGGCATGCGGAGCGAGGCTCGGGTCTCCGCCTCGCCCCATTCATCCAGCCGAGGTGGAGCGCGGGGCGGGAGGACGCCCCCGCCTCGCCCGCAACGTGCGTCGCTCCGGAACCCAAACAATGACTCCCCACTTCCTCGCCCGGCCCTCCGTGCGCCCCACCCACCAGCCCCGCGATGCAGACGCGCCGCGGGGCGCCCCACGGGGACCCCATTGTTGCCGGGCGCAGTCCACGCGAGCGGCCCCGCAGCCTCGGCCGGTAGCCCGCCCGCCCGTCCGCGCCGGCTCCGCCCACACCTTTCCAAGTTCGCCGGCGGGCGAGCCGGGGACCGCGCGGGCGCCCCCTGCCCGAGCGCCCCCACCCGGACGGTGGCGGCGAGGGGCGGGGACCGAAGGGGCCCGGCGCTTTATTTGTCTCTGAATTCTTTTCCTAAGACTGCCTTGCGCGCTTTGACACAAAAGAGGGGACTTTGTTGCGGTTCAGCGCGAGTCTGGCCCGGCGCGTTGCCATCGGGGTCCTCCCGCCGCGCGCCCCCGGGGCCCCTGGGCCGGCGGCGGCGGCGCTCGAGGGCCATGTGCGGGTTATGTGGGGCGCCGCGGCGAGGCGGTGCAGGTGGACGGCGCGCGCAGAGGCCCCAGGCCGGGGGCGGGGGCGAAGCGGGGGCGGGGCGGGGTGGGGGCGCGGCGGACCCACCCCCCAGCCGGCCCGGGCGGCCGGGCGAGTGCGGGGCAGTGGGTGTTGCCTTCTACCTCTGCGAGCAGGAGGGGTTAGTTTCCCACAGGGGATTTCAACCATCACGCTCAGGGCCCGCCTCCTAATCCTCGGGCGGAGCGGCTCGGGGGCCCCATTTTATGGCAATAAAGCGACTTAGCGCCTGCTGAGCGAGCCCCTCCCCGCCGCCGCCCCCGCCCTCGGCCCCACCCCGGGGCTCTGCCCGCAGCGGCGGGGCTTTGTTTCTGGGGAGGAGGACCGGGAGCTCTTTTGTTTGGGGGTTTGGTGTTTTCACCCCACCCCGCCCCGCCCTACCCTGCCCCACCCCGCCCCGCCCCGCCCCACCCCTCCGCGCCTCTCCGGTTTCCTGAGCTGCAGGCTGCTGGGGAGAAGCGGTGGCGTCTTGCAACCCCCTCGGCTGGGCCCCGGGGTAATTCGATGCGGGCCTGGCGAGGCTCCCCACGCTAGACCGGGGCTCGCGTCTCGGCAGCCTCCACCCACCGGCCCACCCTACATTTAGCGCATCATGTGATCCGGGTAAGTCATTTGCAAGTACAACAGTTCCCTGGGTTGCCCCCCATTCATTTCCTGAGAACTGCAGAGAGCAGCTGAGAGGCTCTGCTTGTGCGTGTGCGTGTGAGTGAGTGTGTGCGCGCGCGTGTGTGTGTGAGAGAGAAAGGGCGAGAGAGGGAGAGGGAGAGAGACTGACTCTGTGTGAGGGAAAGAAAACAATTTCTCCTGCTCTGCAGCTTCTGTTCAGGTCTGTGCCGATTCCGTTTCTTATCAAAATAAACAACCCCCTCCTTTTTTGCCATCCCAAATCAGGCCGTATTCTCTTAACATGTTTTATTTTCCTTCTGTCATCTGCTCAAGTTAAATCATTTGGTTGGTCTGTGCTTTTAAAGGGGGAAAGTGTTGGGAAGCGGGAGGGGGCCTGGGAAGGGCAATGCTGTTGCAAAGCAAGTAGCGTCGGTCGGATTCGTGGAGAAGAAAGAGGGAGGTTACTTCCCCCACTCCCCTAAAAATTTTTTTAAAAAAGAACTTAACAAGTAACATGAATTAAGCAAATGTTTTTCTGCCCCTAATGGGATTGTTGGTTGCAGTGTTTGTCTGACAGTTGCCAAGGATGAGAAATAAAACCCTAGGGCTGGGTGGGGGTGGGGTGGGGGTCGTGGAAGTAGTTGGCCCCAGGAATGGGGCGGGTGGGATGGAGAGCGATCGCACCGGGCCGTGTGGGCTGTGTGTGCGCTTTGCCGAGCGGAGGGGAAGGGGTTAAGGCGGAGATGACACTGCTGGCATGAATAGTGGTCCTGGTGCTACATTCATTATTGTCTCTGGTCGTAATGATGTGTAACTGTCAGTTGCTACGGTGCTTGGTCCTCGGAGGTAGCCAGGGGCTGACCGGTGGCTGTTATTTTCAATTACGAGGGACCCGGCTGGAGTTGACAGGGGGCAACTTCGCGCGTCCACTCGGGCCAGGAAGCCCGCGGAGCCAGTCCGAGAGCCACTTCGGGCCTCAGAAGCTCGCTCCGAGGGCTCGGACTTGACCTCCGCGACATTAGTTGGTGTTCTTGTTAGATGCTCCCCTACAGGGAGAGTCAATCCTGCTTTTGTTGGGTAGAGAACTGCCTACTGGAACTTTGAAAACTTTTATCTTTGGGGAAAAGGGTGGGGTGCACTCAACAGTTTTGTTTCACAGTGCATTGGAGGCAAATGCCTGGAAAAAGTACCAATTCCTTTGTTATAAGCCCTGCTGCTTCCCAACCCCCTTCACCCTGCTCTTCGAGTTTTGCATACTTTAATAGTAATAACCTTAATTCAGCTGATACGAGCCGACTGTTGAGTTCGAGCATTAATACAACAGAATGTGTAATCTGGATAAACAGTTTGTGTGGGAAGTATTGTCAGGTCTCTAATTGAACTAACTGTACAGATGGCCCAAGTATTCTGTATGGATTGTTTTAAATAATTCCACTGGCTAATAGAATTCTCCGCTGAGCACACAGGTATTTTAATTCAGCTTTAATAATCTGTTTTCCTGTAACACCAAGCAGAGCTATTTACATTTAGTGCATGTGCATCTAGTTGCTTCAGTAGACATCTGCCAATCACGTACACGTCATTCTGCAAATCCACCTAGGTGGCTCCATGCCCTTTTCTTAGTGGACGATAGAGTTTAGCTAAGTGAATGCACTGAAATAAATTTGGTGGCTTTTAGCGAGCAGCAGCTCGTGATGGAAATAGGAGTGGCCACTTTGAACAGTGAGAGCGGACTGTCTTCTAAGAAATGCTTTTGGAATTGGCATTTAATTACTACAGCGGAACCCCCTCCTCCCAAAGGACAAAAAACCTGGTTGTGCCTGGGTAGAGCTCCTTCGCCTGTTTACATTTAAAAAAAGATACTCAGAAATTGATAACATTAAAAGGGTGTATATACTGTTAGGGTAGAAAAATTTTAACTATAGTGTATCTCGGTAGAAATAAAATGTTGAAGGGCAGACATTTCAGTTGCATAAGATACATCTTTATCGGTGCAGCCTGGTCAGTCTTGATACTGGGTTGAGTATATTAAACTCCTTTGAGTTGAGGAGAGAGCAGTTTGGGCATAAAGGAATTGGCAGGAAATTGTACTGTATTTAGGAAAGACATTATTCTACCAATTCATAACTTATGGAATATATTTAGAGTGGTAAATCTGGGATGGTTTCACATAAGAATTTCGTAACTTATGAACTAAAACTGTAAATAATGCAGTCATGTTAGGTTAAACTAAATAGTTTTGAAGAATTTATTTTTGAAATCTTTCCGTTGCTGTGCTTTCTTCTACTTAGTGGGGCATATTTGAAAGAAACTTCAGTCAGCTGAACTTTATTGGGGGACTGCTTTTTATTAGTTGATTGAATGAAAATTATTCTGCTAATGAGCTCTTAATAGTTCCCTCTCTCCAAGTTCCTTTTCAAGAAATGAATGTCATTTAGGAGGAAGTGGTCCTATGTAGCCTTTGAGACCTTGACCTTAGCAACGCTGGGCTGGTGGTTGTTTACCACCACTGCAGCCTTCCCCTGTACTGAAGGGAAGGCAAAGCACACTCCCTGCTCTGTCTGTCTCCTGGGCCCAGAGGAGAGAATGAATGCGCATACTCGGTGTTCAGTTCACAGGGTGTGTGTGCATCAGAACTGGAGTATTCTAAGTGGAGTATTCATATTTGTTGCTCAGGGATTTCTTTTGGCCTGCTGCTCCGGGATTTCTTGGGGCATCCTAAGCAGGGGAACATGCATTTTCACAGCCTTGGAGTGAATTACAGATACTATATTGTGGAGCAGAGTGTTGTCAACTTAATGAAATAATTTGATCTAAAACATAGGCGTGCTCATCTCAGCAAAGACAACTTTAAGTGCTTAGGCCTTCAGGTTTGTACTGAGGGCATTTTCAATTTGAACTGTTGCTTAATCTAGCGTTTTGAGTAACCTTACCCTGTGAGATAATATTGATAAACAGTGGAACATATAAAAGTTCTGAGCATTTTCTCCCTTATACAAAATGAAAAACATGGACTTTCCTATATATGTAAATTAGATAACATTAGAATAATATTACATTAGTTGTGATGTTAAGTGGCTTGTTTTCCTTGTATTTTGAGAGAAGCATTCTCAAATGTCAAGTTTATAATCTAAGTGTAGTTTGTGTGTTAAATAAAAGATAGTTGTACAAAACTGTAATGGCACAAACTCATTTAAAACTCAACAAACTTCTCCTATTTTTTTTTTAATAAGCATGTTTACCCACTTGTGCTTGTAGGTTGATTAATAAATGCACCAGAGCTAGAAATTCCAAAGCAGTTTTAATCAAAATTGATACTATTGTATTTTTTGTTGAGGAAATAACTTTCATTTTTACAAATTCTGAAATGGGTTGTAGTTGCTTATCTATGTGCATTTTGAAAATACCATATGGTAATAGACTACAAATGACTGTATTTTTGCTGTATTCACGTATTTTCTTTTTCTAATTCAGATACTAAAAAAAATTCAGTCTACAAGTTATGCACAGCTTTCAGCTTTAAATGTGTACAAAATGTAAGAGTAACAATATTAAAATTAAGTCACTGGCAACACCCTACTGTAACCACAGCCTTAACTCATCCACCACAACCACTCCTCCCAGAAGCAAAATGGGAGTAAACAGATGGGCTTTGCCCTATGCCCAGAAGGTCAGCTGCCTTCGGTCAGTCAGTCCTGCTTGGTTTCTAGATCCCAAATCCTGCCAGGGAGCTGCCTGACTGCCACTGGCCAGAATTCATTTTCAAGGCCTGCACGGGCCACACCCCATCTGATGTCAGCTACTGAGTTCCTTTGGTAGAGAACACATGCTGTGGATTAAATGGTTCCTTTCTGTATATATTCTCAGTAATTATGTTACAAAAGGATTTCTCGGTGTTGGGTGTTTACTGTCATAAAGTGGCTACTTGAGTAATCATATTGCTCCATAAAAATTTGTTTTGGCTTCACAGTAGATGACAGGATATTCATTCACCCAAAGCAGTCTGCTTTGGTATGGTCTTTTTTCTAACTTAAACCATATTTTTCTTTAGTTGCTGATATCATAGTGTGTGTATATTTTTGTGTATTTATTAATATAGTAATTGACATGGTCCAAATGGTATTGTTTAGGTACAAGAGAGAGTAGCAGAAAACCCTTGTGATTTTCTTGCTCCATGAAAGGCGAGAGAGAAGAAAATCAGAAAGCTTGGGAATAGTTTTCTTACCTTCAGCTTCAAAGGCTGTGGAAGCTACCATGGTTACTACCTGCAGGCTGTGATAGCCAGGAATTGGATCCCAAGGGGCAGTATTCATCATGCTGTTATATAGCTTTTCACATAGTTTATATAGCTTTTCACAGTAATTTTTGTCATGATGTGTATGTAAATACTATGTGTGCATATATAGTATATATAGTATTTATATTTGTGCATGAGTTATTATATCCTCTGTGTTGGATATATACTCCTACGTCATACACGGCATGACCAACAATTACAGTGTGAAAAGGAGAAACACCGTTCGTGTATTTTCAAATTCTGTATTTGGTAATATAGTACTTTTCTCACTTTGAGATTAACAAACCTCAGAAATCAAAACAAAACAAAAGAAAAACTCACCAAAGGCAACCAAGGTAAATTATTTTAAAAAAAATGAAATACAAATAACTGAAGAAAACCTTCATTAATTTCATAATCAGCTTCTAGAATCAGCTCATCTCAGTGGCAGAATGTCTGTTTGAGTCAGCCTCTCTTGCTGATGAACTCTGGGTGACCTTGGTCAAATTTCTTAACTGTGGTGAGGGTTAAATGAAGTCATGGGGTAAAAGCCACTTGGTACTGTAAAGTACCAGTGTAGCATCTGATTCCAAAGGAAAACTACTCCTGGCTGTCGCCCTCCACAGCCCTCACCCTCCCAGTCTTGTGTCTCCCACCCCACCAAAAGAGATGGACTTTATAGCTTCTCATAGTGAGCATATAAACTGCATTTATGGAGAAG